TAATTCTATGTTTCTATAATTCATCCTTATAGACCATTTAATTTTAATAAATAAATCAGATAAACAATTACTTGGAATCTGCCTGCGAGGCATCTGTAGATTTCGCATCATCTAGTATTTCTGAGTCTGGTACAGATCCATCCATTGATTTAGCTTGAGCACATAGAACAACAGGAATTCCTTGTAAAGTTTGACTTAAAACCCTCTGAAATCGTTCTTTAGAAGGGGAAATAGTCAAAGTATCTGAAAATGAAAAGAAAGGTTTAAAATTATATGCCTTTCCATTCCTAGCAGTCTTTTCATAAATACTGTAGTATTCATTACTCTGAAAGTACAAAAGATTATCAGATCTTTGGAATGCATAGCATTTGTAATACATCAGTAATAAGATTGGGGATGAAAGTTGACTCCTGTGAAATATAGTTGGTGCATTGCTAAGTCCAAAAGACATAAGTGCAGAGTACAGAGGCCTCAACCCTCAACTACTCCAACATATGTTAATAGGCTGACTTGCACAATGGGCGTCCCTATTTAATACATACCATGTTTGGTAAAGACAAGATTTGCTTTAAAGAAACCATCACGTGGTGCAAGTTCTCCTACACACAAAACCTGATTTATAAATCGTATAACTTGATTCTTGGTGATATCAAACATATGTTCTACAATCATCATATCCATCAACTTCACAAAATCACCCAGTTTACTAAAAATAGAGAATTACAAAATCACCAAGTTTACTAAAAATAAATAGATAATTACAAAATCACCCAGTTTACTAAACATAGATAATTACAAAATCACCCAGTTTACTAAACATAGATGGAGAATTACAAAATCACCCAGTTTACTAAAAATAGATGTAGAATTACAAAATCATCCAGTTTACTATCTGAATGATTGGTCACACTTTCAATGTATATTTATATCTAACTAGTACCATCCACAAATACATGCTCTGACAACTTGAAACTGGCCTTGAAAAACCTTGAAGCTTCTTCGATCTCAGCTGACACCGGAATTTAATAGGCATTGCAAGTCGCCCATGTTAGATTAATAGTCCAAGATAGTTTCAACGAAAAGATATTGTTTGAGACCAACCTTGTTTCAGATTTTGCTTTCCGTAAATTCTCTTCTCTCTGTTCGTTTTTCATTCTCTGCAGATGCATCGAATCTTTTGAACTACAAAACAAAAAAATGTTTAAGCTGTTAAAGGTAAGAAATGTGGTTAAACTACAGTTCATTCTGGGACTAATGGAATGGTTTTGTGTTTTAAGTCTTGCTAACATAATACTTCAGTCATTAGCTTACGCATGCAATGCAAAGGGAAGAGCAGTTACTATAGTAGACAAAAGGAACACAAACTATCTGGAACATTTATTTATGACAGGTAAAAAGAACACAAACTATCTGGAACATTTAATTATGACAGGTAAAAAGAACACAATCTATCTGGAACATTTAATTATGACAGGTAAAAAGAACTCAAACTATCTGGAACATTTAATTATGACAGTTAAAAAGAACTCAAACTATCTGGAACATTTAATTATGACAGGTAAAGAGAACACAAACTATCTGGAACATTTAATTATGACAGGTAAAAAGAACTCAAACTATCCAGAACATTATTAATTATAACAGGTAAAAAGAACACAAACTATCTGGAACATTTAATTATGACAGGTAAAAAGAACAAACTATCTGGAACATTTAATTATGCCAGGTAAAAAGAACTCAAAATATCTGGAACATTTAATTATAACAGGTAAAAAGAACTCAAACTATCTGAAACATTTAATTATTACAGGTAAAAAAAATAAAACAAACTGATTATATATATGTACTTACAACAATGTTTTCTTTTTGACTTGTTCATCACAATATCGTAATTTTTTAAATGATTCCTCCGCAGTAACATCAGCTACTGTTCGACAAAATCTGAAAAATGTAGAGATATCCATAATGAAACAATAATTCTATCAAACAGTTATTTGGTCATATGTGCAATGGGAGGACATTTTTTCCCCAAATACCATTAATATTTTTTCTGTCTACTTTTCAGTACCTGTAATTCCAAATGTCAATCTTTCTTTTATGTGCCGCCAATGATTACATGGGTGGACCTCAATTTTATTGTCCCATCCAATTGACTAGACAACACCTTATTTATCAGCCACCCCAGCACTATCTCCGACAAGTGAGAAACAGACTTTATATTGAGTACTCACCTGAAGAATCGTTCTAGTATTTTATCAGCCTGAATATTTTTATAATTTATCACATTTTCATATTCTCCTAGCTGGTATGTTTTACTGTAACAAAACAAAAATTATATATAGGTTATATATTATGTCACAACTAATAGAGGCGCGCATTTCAAATTGGATTACGATTGTCTGTTTTAACATAATCTAAAATCAGAATAAAAGCGTTATTTTGTAATCTGTACTTGTTTTATTATTCAGACTTCTGGCCTATAGATATGTCCATATATATAACTAGAGACATGAGGTATTAATTGTAATGACAATGAAATAGTCACGGTGGTTCGAGAACTTTCTCAAACAGCAATGTTAATTCATACGCCTCACTTCAGTGGGTAAATAACACTATATGTACAAGAATATTCATTGTTTGATGATGGTGATGATGTTGTGAACATTTCCACTCTATTTCATTATAATCTTCGGTACAGATATAACACAGACATTAACTATCATCAAATATCAGAAGTTGTATTTTTATATGAAGTAAATTACTAACAACTTACTCTAGTTCAAATGGTAAAAAACTGACGAGAAGTAACTCTTTTAACAATCTAAATAAAAAAATTAAAAATACAACTTCATTATAACATACAATTTATAACTGAACATTGATATACTTCAAATACAGGATCATAGCAAATCATTAATAACTGATCAATTTACATTCAATTGACACAAGGTAGGTCATTTTGGGACTAACATGGTTCAATTTTATTTCAATAATTCGCTTGCTTGTAGAGGTCATTAGCAGTGCGAGAAAACCCACGAGGTTTGACTGGCGACCCTATTCCTTGTCATGTTCAACAAGGTGGGACGGGCAACCCTACTCCTAGTCACGTTCAAGAGGGGAATCAAAACCATGCCACTTGTCTCAATGACTGGCCTTACGATTTCCCCGCACACGTTAAACCACTAGATACCACCCCGCCTCTCCCCCCAACTCCCCTGATCAATATAATTGGTAAGTACGACAGAAACAGACCATGGCGTCATCACAGCCGCCATATCAAAAATCAAAGTCAGTCACACGATTTCTGATTGTCCAAAAAACCAGCATACCAAGTTTTACATAGTTTGACGTTGATCATATTCTTAGTCTAATTGGCAGAGCCTAAGACTTTTTTGACGAGTGCCACCCCAAGAACATAGAGAAAACCCATAGTCCCTCTGGTTTCACTGGTAGAGGACAAATAAATGAAGAAATTCCAAACCTTGAGACCTGCATGAGAGCAGCACCGAATGCTGGCACAGCCTGTAGTAGAGATTTTGACAGCATTTCTTTTCTACGTAGAAAATCTATATACAATTTATTAGATCGCCATCTATAATTAAATAATAAAGATAGTGATATTTATTTTTCACATAAGACAATAACAACATGTTGGACATGTTATGGAAGGTACAGGCATTGATAAGCTCTATGTAATTGGTAATAATCAATCAAATACTATTGGTGCTTGAAAATGATAAGACTGAGAGAGATATGGGGTTTAATGTCCACTCGACACAAACTAAGTCATTTCGGGACTAACATAATATGGTTCAATTTTATTTCAATGATTCGCTTGTGCGTAGAGGTCTTTAGCAGTGGGAGGAAACCGGAGGACCCAGAGAAAACCCACGAGGTTGGACAGACAACTCTACTCCTTATCATGTACAACCGGGGAATTGAAACCATGGCAGCTGACTCAATGACAGACCTTGTGATACAACACGCACACGCTAACCATTCGGCCATCACCCCCCCACCCCCCCACCACCACACACACACACACACACACACAAAATTCAAAAGAGGTCCATGGAAAGCTTTTACCAAACATTTATAGGTGGCTCTGGTTTGTACATATCATCTGCAGAAGGTGCATAGCGTGACACAAATTTAAAATGATCATATCTTTGTAAATACTGAAAGGAATTGAACCATTATTGGACTGATATACCTTATAGAGATTCAACTTTCACGATAATAAAGTTTGTAAAGGAATTCAAGATGATGGACCAGCAACTTTAAAACTTACTTTTTGAAAGATTTAGATACAAGAAAATATTTAAAAAAAGGTATAGAAGAAACGGCCTTCCATAAAACAGCTTCTTTCTGCCAGTCAGCTAATGACAGACTCTCATTATCCTGATTCGGGAAAACACGTAGTACACCAAACGTACAAAACACATAATGCTCTGGATTGGCCTGAAACACATTAATGTACAAAACACATAATGCCCTGGATTGGCCTGAAACACATTAATGTACAAAACACATAATGCCCTGGATTGGCCTGAAACACATTAATGTACAAAACACATAATGCCCTGGATTGGCCTGAAACATATAATTGTACAAAACACATAATGCTCTGGATTGGCCTGCAACAAATAATTGTACAAAACACATAATGTTCTGGATTAACCCTGGAGTGACCTGAAACACATAAACATTAATTGTGCAAAGAAGAACAAGCCTGACCAGTTTCATGTCAATATTACTGTAGGCTTTTATTCAAAGAGAATAAAAACAAGAATACCAAATGTAAGAATAAAGCATTCGTAACATAACGAGAATTCGGGGAACATACAGTCTGATGAAAAATGACCTTATTTTGAAACAGACTGATGAAAAATGACCTTATTTTGAAATATGATAAAAAGTGAGAAATGACCTTATTTTGAAACAGACTTATGAGAAATGACGTTATTTTGAAAAGTGAGAAATTACCTTATTTTGTGGACATGATATTAAATCATAGGGTCTATAATACCGTGATGGTGCCAGATTGAAATAAATCGACTCTATTTTACCGATATGATGACATTTAGCAAAATATTCTACAGCTTCACGACCAGTCATTACTGGAACTTCCTCCTTCAAAACAAATAAATCATATAATACAATAAATTTATCACATTGGGTTTTTGTTATTACTCTCATTACATAACATTCAGGAATGTCCATAGAAATCTTGTAGAAAGTCACAGTGGCTCCATCAGTAAGGCGCTGACTCACTAACCAGGATGTACAGGGGGTTTGATGGTGGTGTTGGCCAAGAACAAGAAAGTTCCTCTAAATATTCCACCGAGAGAGAAATGGGTTTTAACATCCATTCGACACAAATTAGGTCATCTCGGGACTAACATATATGGTTCAATTTTATTTCAATAATTCGCTTGTGCGTAGGGGTCTTTAGCAGTGGGGGGAAACCAAAGGACCCAGAGACAACCTAATAAGATGTTGGACCAAAACCACGCCACTTGACTGATCTTATGATTTCATGTGCACACGTTAAACCACTAGACCACCCACTCCCCCCCCCCCCCTTTTTTAAAAAGTACAGAAAGACATGACCACCTACCTGACTAGGTTTGACTGATTTAGCTATTACTGCTTTAAGTTTTTCTGGTGAAAGTTTGGTATGTATACTGCTTGTTCTTCTGGACGAGCTTCTGGATGATTGAGGCTACAAAAAATAATATGGACATTTTGAAAATGTCTGCGATATCACTCCTGTGATTTCAAGTATACAATTATTTGAGACATCATATTAACAAAACCATAAATTTTCACACAAAAAGAAAAACAAATGTTAATAAGTCGGCAATGTTTATGTCAACCAGCATTGAAGATCTTTTCAGCCTTTAGTTTCATGCTTTAAGATTATGTGCATCTTTGTATAGTTCAGAGATAAATGTTGTGTACACAAGGCCAGATTAAGGCCTTTAGGGGCTCATTTACATAACAGATTATAGTGCACCTATGTATATAATTCAAAATAAAAACACTACTAAACCATATTAATACAAAAAATATAAATATTATCATCATTAATATTCTTCTTGTAAATGTATACGTCTATTTTACGTTGTTTATTGTGAGGCACCCTTTTCAGGTTTCTGGTTCATATGTACAATGGTAAATCTCAAAACTATTTGATGCTTCTCGATCTTTGCATTAGTGTCTTCAGCACATCCTTTATTGGGGTAAAAGTTGATCCTGGTTGTTTCCTTACTCTTTCCTGATCCTACTTGCTATTGGAAATTGCAGGAATTTTTATACAGATACCAGATTGTGGGGACCATTACAAAAAGCTAAATGTCTGGACCACCATAAAATTAGGTCCCAAGCAGAAACATGAATTCTTGTAAAATGATAAATGGTTGTACGTGTATTGGTATATCTATATTTAAACGAACCTACCTGTACAGGTATTTGTATACATATATACCTATGGTATATCTAAATGAACTTACCTCTACAGGGATTGGTATATCTGTGTTTAAAGCTAAAGCTGTAGTACCTAAACTATGTTTCCATATAGATTCTCCTAAAACACAAATTAATAACCATAATCATAAACTATGTTTCAAAAATCTAGATGCTGAGATGTAACTCAAATTTATATTTTAAAGTGGCATTATGGAAGATTAGATAGAGCTGGCGGTTCTCACTATAATAGTTAAAAACTAGATAATGTAAAGGGAATATGCTGAAAATTTCAGTCAAATTGCTTCACTTTGAACCGAGATATTGTTGATTGAATCTTAGGTCTAGCCTTGATCATCATTACTAAAGTCGGTACGATTAAAAAACATTGTCCATTTTTGGATTTAATCATCAGTGAGCGTTGAGCAGCAGATTGGATTCAAATCCAGTAAAAATCTGACACATAAGATGGCATCGAGAGTTCATTAAGGTCTTTTCATGTTAAAAAATATCTAATTAATAGTTTATATAACATTTAAGGCCTATAAAAAGACTAACAATAGGCAGATTTAGCTCTTGCATAATTTATATTTTAAAATACTATTTCAGAAATTTCAGTAAAGCTCATACCAAATATGTAGCTTGGTTTTTTGATAATTTGACAGATTTAAAAGTTATTTTCACTCGTGTTTTGTTTCCAACCAAACCGGGAGATTTTGTTATTTCCAAACAATCAGAAAGATCTACTTACTTGCTGCCATTTCAAAAGCAACTGGTCCGATTGATTTACCTAGATCTCGAAACGTTAACGACTGTCTTGTCATAATTTCTTCATCAGACTAAAAATATAATCATATGTTTCATACAATAAAATAGGCTAGACTAATCCTAAACCAACTCAGAGAGCAGGACACAATTCTATGGAGAGAGAGAGAAATGGGATTTAATGTCTACTGGACACAAATTAGGTCATTTCGGGACAAACATATGGTTCAATTTCATTTCAATAATTTGCTTGTGCATAGGGGTCTTTGGAGGAAACCCATGAGAAATGGGATTTAACGTCTACTGGACACAAATTAGGTCATTTCGGGACTAACTTATGGTTCAATTTCATTTCAAAAAATTTGCTTGTGCGTAGGTGTCTTTAATAGTTGGAGGAAACCGGAGGACCCGAAGAAAACCCATGAAGTTGGAAAGGTGACCTTACCCCTTGTCACATACAAGTGGAAAATCGAAACCATGCCACTTGACTCAATGACAGACATTCTGATGCAATGTGCATGCGTTAACCATTCATCCACCCAACAACCCTACATTTATACAGAAAATAATTACTCTTTATTATTTTGAGCAACGTTTTGATTAGAATTATCAACTCTTCTTTAATTTACAACTTCCACAGGTTCTTTTACATTGGGGTGGGGGGGGGATGATGTTGGTCTGTCATCCCCCCTCAAATATACAGAAAGTAATCAATAAATAATCAAATCTTACAGCAACATGGGTAGAGTATGGGTTTGTTCCATCGGGCAAACGATTTCTGGGAGATTTTCTTGGTGATAGTGACGCAGTCTTTAATAGAGCAGGATTAACACAATAATTCTTCACTAGGTGATTCCCCTTGGCTTTAATAATTTCCATTTCCTGTCAAAATAAAAACATAAAGCAATAAATATTGAGAGAATAACGAGTACACATTCCCATCAAGTTGACAGATTATTCTAACCAACCATGCATTGAACAACATGTCTTTAATTACTCATTGAACGTATATTATGATTAACGGCAGTATTCTTAAAGTATTTTAGTTTTACATTTTCATGAATAAAGAGAGAGAGAGAGAAATGGGATTTAACATCCACTCGACACATAGTTCAATTATATTTTAATTCGCTTGGGCGTAGGGGGTCCTTTAGCAGTGGGAGGAAACCAGGAAAAACCCACGAGGTTGGATAGGTGACCCTATTCCCTTGTCAGGTACAACCAGGGAATCAAAACCATGCCAGTTGACTCAATGACAGACCTTATGATAAAGCAAGCGCACGAACTAACCATTTCTACACCCCACCCCACCCTTTTCATGAACAATCCCCTGTGGAAGCTTATTATAATTAAAACGGCACACCCTAATTATGATTAATGATTACTTTTATTACTGGAAGTGTAAGGTACAGCTGATTGACATTTGAAAAAATATAAACAAACAAACAAATATTTCAGTATATACTTTAACACATGATTTCAGATAGTGTCCTTACATCACTGCACAAAATCAGGCTGATCGCTACACATTTTAGGTTAATCACTGCACATTCAGTTAACAAACTGAAACGTAAAACGTAATCGCGCCAACATTAACATACCTCAGGAAAGACTTTTGCCAACGAATCAACAATCTGCAGATCAAATAAACGTTCTCGATGTATCTCAAAATGGCTGCTAATCCGTTCCAAGTAATGTGTGAACTGTAAAAGAGCAAGAAAAAAATTTGTATTCTCAGTCAGTTTTTAAAAAAACACAACAAAACAGCTATACTAATCAAAGGACAATATTGGTGCCAGTCATTATCACATATGTGTTAGAGCTGGTTAAACACATTCCAAATATATCTTTAACACAGAGATCATTGCTACGATAGCTGAGTAATACAGGTTTCCCGTATCGGAAGTGACGAACGCCAAAGGAAAAAACGAGTCACCGCTCAATATAACTGACTGAAGCGACGAGTGATAACAGATACATGGCCGAATTTCTGCTCACTAATAATTCCTTCCAAGACCAAAAGTTGTTATATGGGACTGTAAGAGGATACCTGACAATTCAATAAAGTAATTGAATGTTATTAGATAAGAGAACACGAGAAAAATAGAAATAGTCCGTACATTCCCTTGTTTATATTCATTCTATACCTTATAAAAACACAGTATTGCACGGACTTTTTCTGTTTTTCTTTCGTGTTTTCTTATCTAGTGGCAGTCAATTCTTTTTATGAATTGTCAGATATCCTCTCACAGTCTCACACAACAACTGTTGGTCTTCAAAGGAATTATTAGTGAGCAGAAATTTGGCTGTATATCTGTTATCACTAGTCGCTTCAGTCAGTTATATTGAGCTGTGACTCGTGTTTTCCTTTGGCGTTCGTCACTTCCGATACGGGAAACCTGTATTACTCAGCTATCGTAGCAATGATCTCTGTGTTAAAAGTATATTTGGAATGTGTTTAACCAGCTCTAACACATATGTGATAAAGACTGGCACCAATATTGTCCTTTAAATTGGATTGATTTTTATAGTGGACCTAAAATCCTTCACATGAAAACACCACATGTTCAAAAATTTGTAATGATTCTTTTTTTTGTTTTTCTCTGTAAATAAACTAAAGAATAATCACCTCTGCTCTCGTATCAAAATAATGTAAGAAAGTCTGAAATGGTTCGACTAGCTCTAATATTTCTTGTAAGTAAAGCCACGTTGGTCGACTGAAAAAAACCCAAAGAACATGGAACATGGATCAATCATTAATTTCGTCTGATCAAAAACAAAACATTTATATTTATAGTATAATATATATCTTCATTTATCCTTTAAATAATTTAAAAAATGGTTTCAGAAATTTATCGGCAGCTAATCAAATGATAACTTTTCCCTATTTCATGCCTCTCAGTGATAGCATGACCCAGCAAAAATTCGATCTGGATTAGTCGGATATCTCCTTTCACCAGACATTTTTACAAGTGGTTAAGTTATCACAATTACAAATGTTAAACTATCTCTTTTATTTATTTCTTGCTTTTATGACTCGGAATTCGGTGAGCTTCTAGGTCGTTTATTTCTATTAATATCAGACTTACCTATCTTGTTGAAGAGCCGTTATAAAAACTGCTATCAGTTCATTTTTTAGTTTCTTCACATCTTCTTCAATTATTTCACATTCCGATCGCAAACTTTCTTCTAGGCTGAAATTATACATAAACTCTATTATACATAAACTCTATGTAATATGCCATGGTACATGAGGGAATTTTGCCATGACATCGGCTCTACCTACTTGTATTTAGATTTCCTATAAAGGGATTTTTGCTATTTAAACTTTCTTGTGTCAAGACATCAATTCCATTTGCTTATTACAATGTTGCTGTCTTATGGAACAACCTACCACAGACTATCAAATCAGAACTTTAAAACTTAGCTTAAGAGTACGCCAGACTATTCAAGAAAAGTTTCCAATATAGAACAACTGTACTCTCACAGTACACGCACAGAGCAGACTTTAGTTTGAAATGCTGCACTGTGACTATGCAGGAATTATTATTACCTTTTTCTGACATCCAGTGCCCATTTGGAAGCCCTATCTCTGGGAGTTTCTGTTCTGGGAATGGATTGCAGTGATACCAGACTGCTTCTGCCTTCATTTAAAGATGGTAATTGTGGTGTTGTAGTCATGATGAACCAATTTCTATTCCCAATCTAAACCACTCACTCCTCCAACTTTCATTTTACTATAAAAAAATAATAATAAACAGTACTACAGATTTATTTTAGTAGATAGAAAATGGAAATTTTGAACAGCAGCTGTGACTGCGATGCCACAGGAATATATTACTGCCAGTAAAAAAGATTCTAGATTTATGTTTTCTTTTATAATAGCATGTTCGAAAGTTAACGGTAATGGTGTCTCTGTCCTGCTGAGTTAGGGCGAGACCGAGAGTTTAACTCCTGGCACTATCACTTCACTGACTGATAGTTTTGGCAGTCCTGACACAATCACATTCACAGCCACAGGCAATAAATTTTCTTGTTTTATTAGTTAAATTTAATCAAAGATAATATAGAGCGAAGCTCTACAGCATCGCGCAAAGCGCCGTGCTTGAGCAAAGCTCTTTTCCGGTAACACAGGAACGTAACTGAAATTGTCACCCACAGACTGTTGATTAAAAAAAAATTCAGACCGGAACCGGATACACTGGGCAAAACAGGCAATGCGCATGTCAACTTACCAAATCTCGCCCAAGCTAGATTACGCGCCTCATAGAACTATTTCTATGACGCGTCTAATCAATGACGTCACATATTTTTGACGTCAATGAAAATAATTCTCACACTTTTTTGTTCTTTTTTAAAAAACAAAATTAATGTATACAATTTAGATCTAAATGAAAATCAATTTGGAAAAACTAAATTATTTAACATTTTTTGTATCACTTGAGAAAATTAATTATGATGAAGGTTTTATATTTGACAATAATCAGCTTCGCTCTACTCAGGCAATGCCTGTTACATATTACCTTCTGCAGATTTTAAATTTCCTAAAACTTTTGTGTGATTTATTTCCTTATAATTTAAAATCAACATGACATAATTAATAATTAAATTATGCACCAAAAACTTTCTGGCACTTTTTTTACAGTTGTTGTTAGGCCGCCATATTTGTTGAGTACAACAAACCAGTACCGCAGCTAAACTGATGTTATTTTCATTGGCAAATATTTTTGACAGACAGTAATAGAAATTCTCAGAATGTCATTTATAAGTACATTTAACTGAAAAAATATAAAACAAAGCAATTACAGTTAATTATTTCATTAATTCACGCTTTTTATGAGAAACAAATGTGAATTATTTCGTGTATTTTGGAATTAAAACGATCACATAGCGCTAGGAGTTTGAAATAAAATTATTGTTAGAGTAGTCCCCCCTTATTTTTCTAGCATTAATTGGTATGGCAGTCCAAAGACTGGCTGATCAAAACTAATATTTAGACTTGGTTTACCCTAGATTAAAGGTAAATTTGTTACTGTTTTAAATTAAAAAGCAAATATAAAAAAAATTGCAAAGCCTTATTATAAATTCCATAGGCTTTTGCAGCATTCACTTTGAAAATCGTTCACAAATTACTTGTAAAAATTAGTTACACAGAACAAAACGGATGGTTCCGAATATTATTTACTACCGACAGCGCCATTATGGAGCTTTGTTTTGACATGTGTAAACAATAAAATTAAAACACCAAACAAACTGTCATTTTAAGGGTAATTACTTGTAAAATTTGATATTAATTTTATTGATTATTCAAGGATAAGCCGTTGGATATAATAATGATCATACTATTAAATTAAATTACCATTTCGGGTTGATTTTTTGGGGGAAAGAAATAGAAATCGGTGCCTGGTGGTGAATCGATGTAGACTGATAGATAGTGATTCATCATGATTGCAGATAACACGATTCAAATTTTCAGTCGCTGGTACTGGCAAAGGCCTGTGGCCTATGTTTTTTATTGCCTATTGCATAACTTGTCTTGTATTTTTGCCGATTCAATTAATTATGTTTTGCTGTTTACTGTTATATTTGCATATTTAAATTTTTCTACCCTTTCCAAATGAAGTTAGTAAAATACACATCATCACATGTCATGTACATATATTGTTATTATTATACACCTTGAATAATAAATTCTCAGATGCCTAAGTACATGTAGATCAATTATCTATCAAAATTTGACACTGTACCAGCCGTGTTTGTTCAGTCTGTGTTTGCTTGTGCAGTTATTAGACTAATTCAGAAGTGGCATTGCCATTACTGCATTAGGTGTCAAAAACAGTTACGTGTTTATATTACAAACAACGAGCCTTAATGATACTGTGATAAATTTCAATCATTTGGCAACAACCTATACATCATTTCATTATAATTTTTACACATTGAAGTGCATGTAAAATATACAAAGTAATAGTAATTTGATTAGGAATGGACCGAAACACCACTGTTCAGGCAAAATTCTCCTGTCATAGCATTGCACTAATGACCATCATATCATCTGTTAGTCTCAAGTTGATCCAAGTATTGTGTTAAATTCCAGTTTCTTTTTTGTTAAAATTCTATAACTACTATTATGATAAATATTGTGTTGTTATAATTTTAACTTCTTAATCCTACATTTCAGATCTCATCTAATAATTATTACAAATGGATGATTATTATCTAACCAGTAGTCGGCCTAGACCGGTCACAGCAACTGTCACAAAACCAAAATGGATGGAACCACCTTGTAATTCTACACATCGTCATTCACTCGATTCTACTGGTAAGCTATAGTTTTCAAATAAAATAATAATACGTTAAAAGGTGGAATTTGGACCTTGACACTCTCTATTGTAAATCTTTGTAGGATTTGTGTGGTGGGCAAATCTAACCTGTTGCTATCATATCTTGTAACTTTAGTTTTTCCTGCTCTGCGATAACCTCTCAGACACATGTTTCCTCAAAATGAAATGGCATTACTTTTCTTTCAGCACCAGCATTCTCTTCTCTTTAAGAAGGGACAGATTTCAGTACTTCAGTATTAGGAAACAGAACATACATTGTACTATCTTGTTTTTAACACTGGTCCCCTTAACAAGCCTACTTATATTTTTGCTACCAAATTGTTAAACTAGGTACATTAATTTCACCTTGTACTCTCTTAGATACAACTGGACATGGTTTTAGAGTATTTTATTGACATGGTACTGGCCCACTAACACTGAAGTCCGACTTCAATCCTTGCATTAGCCAAGAAAGTTCCTCCAGATTGTCCAGCATGGTTTCCCCTTGTCAGTGGTTCAGGACAGAGGGTCTGGCAACGAGTAAACATCCAGTTGTTTTGATGGCACGAAAACTCAAGGCCCCTCCTGTACTCTTTGATGTGTACGTAAAAGAACCCTTGACAGTTGTAATTTGATGAAGGATAGGCAGAAACACCACTGTCCTGGCCAAATTTCCCATGTGCACATCTTCCTTAGTCTGTTCGGTACAGAAAAGTTGAATATTAAACCCCATTTCATTTCGGCTTCCCTTGAAATTATATGACTTTTATTATATCATTTCAAGAATTTTATTTTATCATTTCAAGAATTTTGTTACATCATTTCAAGAATTTTATTAAATCATTTCAAGAAGAAAGTTAGACCCCATTTTTTCTTCCCGTGAATAATAGTGAGTTATTTATATAATTTAAGGATCAACAGCATCCCTGACATCGGTATTAGACCACGATAGTTATATCAGTGATTATACAGATGATGATGATATACATCATACATTTAATGATATGAAAATAGAGGAGGGTCCACTTGATTCAACTTACAATAAAACAGCAGATGATAAAACAGATGATACATGTAATTATACAACAGATGATCAATTAAGGTGAGTTGTGGAAAATAAAGCAGCCTGGCAGTGAAATTTGCTAATCAAATTGGGTACAGTTGCTAATCAAATTAGGTTCATTTGCTAATCAAATTAGGTTCATTTGCTAATCAAATTAGGTTCATTTGCTAATCAAATTAGGTTCATTTGCTAATCAAATTAGGTTCATTTGCTAAACACACAAAGATATTTAAAAACGGTGTACAAACAAACATATAGTATCTTATTTGAAATGGTAGAAAATACTAAAATTGCTAATCAGTATGTCCATATTGCCTCTCATATTTATTGCATAGAGAAAAAAAACTGCTATGCGTAAATAAAGCTGAAATTAATTTTGCAAATATATTCAAAGAATTTAACTAGGGACCACATTATAGATTTGTCAGCCGATTTGTTAAAATGGATGGTGCTGCCGATGTGTGGTAGAAAGAAGGATATAAATACATGTATCAGAAGGATTACTTAGAATGAACCAAATGATTAAAATTCACTATGACAGATTTTCCGAATAGATCTGTTTTAGTGTTTGGATTCATGTCTGATATTAAGCGGGGGCCGCGGTGGTTGACTGGACTGTCCAGTGCTCAGATTCGGTCGGAGAAGAACTCACAAGATTTTTCAAGCCACATTTTCCTTTGTCAAGAGTGGTGTCCACGTGGCTGGCATGGAACAATGAAATGGAGGTCCCTGTGTGTAGAATGGTATGCACTCTTGGCAGCTGGAATTTGATGAAGAATAGACAAATATGCCACTGTCTGGGCAAAATTCTCCTCCATGTGACCACAGAAAATAATAACCTCAAAATGATGAGGTATTGAGTTGACAAGACTTTAAACCCCAATTCATTTCTAATTTAGGTACATGCTATGGAAGACAGACGCATCAATAATGGTTTGCTGGATTTAATAACTCGCCCTGAAGTCATCCCTCTCAGTGATGTAGTAGCGGCGAAGTGAATATTCACTGCTGATCAGTTTGATGAAACTGTTGAAAACACGTTAAACTTGATACCTTTCTTTAATTTTTCAGTAGCTACTCACCTTATGAAAGATCAAAATCTAAATCACCTCGCACACCAATCAGAAAACAGAGAAAAATGGAGGATGAATTTCAGGGCTTGTCACCATGGGAACGATGGTTGCTAATCAAAACGAGGGAGGAGAGAATCAAGAAAAAGTTTGAGCTGAGAAATAAACGGGCAAAGGAAGAAGAAGAAAAGAAAAAAGAAGAAAAGAAAATGGAGAAAATAGGAAGAACGGAGGAGGAAATTGAGAAGTGGGAAGAAAAAAAGATAGAAAAAATCAAACAACAAAAACGTCTGGAAAAAGAAGCAAAAGAATTGGAAAAGAGCAAAGAAGAAGAAAAGAAGATGGAGATACTAGAAAAATCATCACAAAAATACAAAGAATGGATGAAAGCAAAAAAACAGGCAGAGCTGAGCAAGCGAAGAGAAGAAAAAGAGAAATTAAAACGTGAAAAAGAAGAGGAAGAAGCCAGGAAATTGAAAGCGGAACAGAAGTATAAGGAATGGGTAGAAAAAGCGAAGCAAAGGCCAATGTCTGCTAGCATTAATTGTAGTCGTAATTCATCATCTAACAGACTAACAGGTAAGTCTTTATTTCTTATCCAATCATGTCAGTGTATCAAATACATGCAGTACCTTGACTGTGTTAGATGACAAGCAAGCCTGGACTTTAAGTACAAATTATCACACAATATTTTTATTATAATTTATACCAAATCACTGTGAATCTGATGAAGATACAAAAATTATTTCCATTCATATTTTGAAGTTCAAATTTCATTTTATCCGCTGTGTGTTCATTGATTTAAGAGATTAGCCAATGAAATGGTCTGTTATGATGAGCTTTAGGCTAGGTGTACACTGAATTATGGGACACATGTATAGAGCACTAAAGAAAACAAAGAGTTTAATATACCATAAATAGTTTAACTTATTCACCCAGCATTTGTCAGACCTGTATAGGGGGAAGGCCATCAAAAGTATAAAAAAATTGAATGCAATTTAAATCTGTATTTTTATAATCAGATTGATTTCTCCAAATTAACAAAATATGAACTTAAAATCTATTAACAAATTGAGTTAATACATTTGTGTAGCTAAAAAAGTATGTCGTGCATCGATCGATGTCTGTGAATTCAGAAAAGCAGTGAAAATAAAACTTGTAATAAATATTTATTTATTTCATAATAATTTACATAAAAATAGTAAATAAGTTTATTTGAATAAAATGTTCTATAAATACATCCTTCTCATGCACAGTACCTTTTTTTAAAAGTACTTCCATATTTATAATTTAGTACAAGACATGATCAAATACATTTAGCAAATAAACATCACGTTCAGATAATAAATATCACGTTCAGATAATAAATATACAGTATATAAACATCACTTGAAATATAAATATCACGTTCAGATAATGAATATACAGTATATAAATATCACTTGAAATATAAATATCACATTCAGATAATGAATATACAGTACATAATAAACATCACTTGAAATATAAATACATGTATCACATTCAGATAATGAATATACAGTGCATAAACATCACTTGAAATATAAATATCACATTCATCAAATGATTATGTAAAATTGTAAAAAGTCACATGTCAAAACGTAGAAAAAAAGTAAGTGGATAATGTCAATAAATTATTTAAATTTTATACATTATTTTATAATGCTTATACAATAATGGTTGTGGTAATCTGTAAGTCCAAGGTAATTTAACTTTTAGTTCTTTTGGTGTCTCGAGGAATAAATAGCACTTTCAGTCTAATCAACAGTGTTTTCTTAACTCAGTAGTTTTTGCATTAATTTTTTATTTCTTGAAGAAATGAAATAGGGTTTATTGGTTTATTTCTTGAATTATATAGGTGTTTCCAAGGAACAAATATTCCAAAGGTTTTGGCATAAGTACAACTTTAAAGTACAGTTATACATGTACAATGTATGTACTTTGAATGGCATGGGGTTTGATTTGGACAATGCTGTTTATTATATAATTCATGTATATAAAAAGAATACACATACAATGCTGTAGAATAATTTATGATGTGTGATACATGTGCTCTGATACAATGTACATTTACATGCATTATTTTATTTTTCGATGGATTGTCGTTTATACATGCATTTTGACCACACAATATTTTCCTGTTCTGTACTGGTCCTGTTATTTGTGAGTTATACAACATTCGGTAGCCTATGGGCCTACCAGATTCGATAGTCTATAGGCCTACAAGATTCCATAGCCTATAGGCCTACAAGATTTCATAGCCTATAGGTAAATTCTCTTACTGTTTCAAAAGCAAATCATTGAAAAAGAAATTTCTGAGGGGTCATTTTGCATCATTTGCCCCAGAGACTGATGTTTTACCTTGGAGAAGCATAGCCTTAAAAAATGGCAGGAATTATCACAATACTATCTTTTAAAAAAGTCATAACTTCCGTGAAAAAAAAAGAATGCTGAATGCAAAAAGTTTTGTTTACTTTTAATGCTGAACATACAGTTAGTTATTTGATTAGTACATAAAAATAGTCAATGCTGAAATGGACGTCATGTCGCTAGTTTAGAGTTATTCCTCTTTTAATCAGTTGCCGACGTGACTTGTTCTGTTTCGGTTTTTGACTGTTCGGCTACTTGTTCTGATTCTGTTTCTGTTTGGGTTGTGTCAGAGTTATCTACCTTCCCTGTACGGAATGCTATTTGTATTTGCTGTATTTCTGATTTTTCTGTGCTGTAATATGCTGGTATTCTGTCCCTCTGAAAACACCAGTTAGATACGTTTGTGAAATAGTACAAAATTGATACTAATAATCGATTCTAGAATACTTGTATACATGGTTCACATTAGTGTGGTCGTACTTGTTTAAAATATTAAATCATTTATATAACTTACCACATCTTTAGCCTGTTGATCGGCAGACGAGGACGTCAGTATGTTGGTAATTTCTTCAGATAAAGCGGATGCATAATGTAACGGTGTTCTGTTTAACTGAAAAATTATTTTAAAGGGTTATTTTTAAATTAATGGCATAGCAGAGCCATTTAATTAAAGATACATTATGTAAGATTTAGATAAAGAACTAGCCATTCTTGCTATAATAGTTCGAAAGTAGATGATGTAAAATGAATAATTTGAAAATTTCATTCAAATTACTCTATTGCAAGCGAAGATATTAGCCTTTTAAGGTTTGACAGGCGTGTGCAATAATTTCAACAACCGTACTGGTCGATCGAAGCTAAGTCTCGGTCCTCCATATTTGATTAAATCAAAGTATTGCTGAACCATTCTAATCTATTTAATATCGGAGAAATTTGATGCCATCGAGAGTTGATTAAGGCCTAGATCAGTTAATTAATGTCTAATTAATACTTTAGAAAACATTTCAGGCCTAAAGAAAGACCTGCAATAGGCAGATTTAGCTCTTGCATAATGCATGTTTAATACAGTAACTATATTTAAGTTTAAAATGATTGTAGAAAATAGAATCAAATGTAAGCCTAAAGTTTTATGGCTTAAACTGGATTGGAAAAGGCAGTTTCAAATATGTCCTTATTTACTCTGAAAGTGTCCTTATTAACTCCCAACAGTTTCAAATATGTCCTTATTTACTCTGAAAGTGTCCTTATTAACTCCCAACAGTTTCAAATATGTCCTTATTTACTCTGAAACACCCATCAGGCCATAGAATGCATACAGGAAAGACCTCTTCAGCAAGTAAGGGTAGTAGGTCTTACTAGCTTTCAACTAATCAGAATTCCTCTTTCTTATCAGTTTAATATAATCAGTTAAACTAAACTAATATTAGCTCTGGTTGAATTTTAACTGTTGGTTTATGGTCATATAAATATCTAAAGATATCGCAATGTAATTCTTTGCAATTCTGACTGAGTAAATGTCTATGGGACAAGGATGAATTTAGTCTAAATAAACAAAACTTACATTATCGCGACATTTAACAGCTGTAGGATAATGTTTTATAATATATTGTACGATTTCTTTATTTTCTATTAAAACAGCTATATGTAGTGGTGAACGTCCATAGATATCTTTGGCTAGAGCAATCTTTTTTCTATCCAGATATTGTGCTACATCTCGTAATACTCCGCTTTCTACCGCTTTCAACGCTTGACTTATTTTAGCCTGAAATTCAAATAATGTATAATTGAAAATTTTAATCTGACTAAATATCGTGGCTTGCTGACTGACCAGGAGATTCCAGGTTTTAATCCCAGTGTTGGTTGAAAAAGGTCCTCTCGATTTTCAAGTCTAGTTCCCTGGTTCAATGGTACAGGAAGTAGGACCGGACAACAAATGGTATCTAGTCATTCCGACGGACAAAAAACTGAGGTGCTGTGTTTACCATTGGCAGTATTTTAAAGTTCACTTGTAAGTTAGAAATTGAAACAAAGAGTAGGCTGCAGTGCCACTGGCTGGTCAAAATTTCCCCAATAGTACACTGCATGCCATATGCAGAAACGTAGGATGTTAAACCCCATTTTATTTCGAGATCTACATCAAAGCTTGAAAGCATAATTACTTGAAAATCTGGAACAGCTTTCAGGAAATCTGTAACTTCATCGGGTAGACCGTCTGTGGAGACTTGTGATAGAACGACACCAAGTTTATCGTAACCATCTAATAATAATTGTTGTAAAGCCTCCAGTTTCTCCTGTTCTATCATATTACTGATGTATGAATCTGAAATATATAAAATATCATTTGTATCCTTCAAATCTCTCAAATATGAAATAGTTTTATTAACTTGGGTAAAATTCTGTTTGATATCGTCCAAGAGTCACCATCAAGTTTAAATTCAGGATTGTATACTGTAATAGAGGGTGGTATATGCAGACCTGGAAATACTATTCAAATTGTACCTGACACTTTTTTGTCGGACATGTATCAAATCAATAAATACACTGATAAAAGACAACTGTATCCCAGACAAAATGAAAAACACAAGAGTGATTGTACCCGACAAAGCCTGAAATTGTGCTTAACATTTTCTGTGACAAGAGCCTTATTTCAAGACTTGGTGATGTTTATGTGGCAGGATAGGCTTATTCGTTTTTGATTTTGTTTGTAGATTGTTGAACTTAGATTGCCCCTTTAGTACATTTTCCTCAAAAATGACTGGTGCTTCAAAAGTTAAGTTATTTTTGGAAACAAAAACCATTTGAGAAATGTGATTTTATTAGATAAATATTGTGTTATTCAATTTATACTAACCCATAGCATCAATATTTTCCTGTATGTCATGATCTTCTGCAATATCTCTTGGTGTCTGGTTATTCCCATCACGATCGGCAAGACTGTAGCCTAGGTTAAATAGTGCTACAAGGTCGGCTCCTGAAAAAGACAGTCATACATTACTTAGGTTTTACATGTATTTAAAACTCCTTACATCAACATTATTAATCAGGCCTAGAAAGAGATTCTTGAGGAAATAAACTTTTAAATCCTTGAAGATTCTTGAAAGATATTTGACAAATGTTCAAAATTAAAAACAAAATTTCAGTGACAATACAGTCAGTATGCTTGACATCTTACGATTAAGCAGAAAGTTAGTATCAGTTTGGTGTCTACATTCGTTAGATGTGTTTCTAGACAGTCACCAAATAATTGTGTAGGGCGTTAAGTTGATTATTTCAATGAATATATTCATCAATATATTTTGTACCTTCCTGAGCTGCTAGTTTATGTAATTCTGTTTGACCTCGTTCATCTCGTTCTTTATACATGGTATCTTCTTCTAGTTCTTCAGTTACCGTTGGTAACAGTGGTTTCTGTAATAACGCTGCTTCTTTAGCTCTAAAAATAACAGATACATTAACACCAGTTCATTCATTGTGTTTTAGATATTACGTGTTTCATTATAAGGGGAGTTAATCTGAACTGAATCAATAGTTGATTACCATGACAATATCTTTATACGCCATCTTGTTTGGGTTACATGGTTCTCGGTATATATCATCTGTATGCTATACATGCCAAGGTGACTCAGTATTGACCAAGAAAATTGTTCAGGATTTGTTGTCTGGTTTTCCCCCTTGTCAGTAGCAGGATGGAGGAAAGCGTCTAGTCAGGGACGAAAAATGAGGTCTCGTGTTAGTTAAACAATCCCCTGTCATTTGGTAATCAAATTTCAAAATAGAGTAGGCTGTAGTTCTATTTTCGGGGGGCTAATTTTCCCTCAGTATACAGTAGCTCACTGTATGACATATGCCTGTTTTTATTAGCCCGGTTGGTTCAGAAAAGTTATGGATGTTAAACCACATTTCAATTGATTACAACATAACATCACTGTATTCATTAGCATGGTTGATGTTAAACCCTATTTCAGCTCATGCCAAATGCAACACAATAACATGTTGCAGTACTTCTAATATCTTACTTTTTCTGTAATTCTTCTTCTTCTTCTCTCTTCTTTCTTTCTTCCTCTTCTTTCTCTCGTCTCTGTTTTTCTTCTGCTTCTTGAATCTGTCGTTCTTCTTCCAGGCGTTTAGCTCGTAATTCTTCTTCTTCATCCATGGCTGCCTCTTCTGAACGAACATCTTTCATAATGTCTTCTTGCTAAAAAAGATATTATTGAATTAGTTACCACTGGTTGGCAGCAGATGAAACGTGAAATTATACTCTATAACCTTACATGCAATAATATATTCAAAAATTGCCATTTTTATTTAATGCTACATTCTACCTTCAGACTTATTTTTGCCTCTTATATATGTTCAGCTATGCATAAACATATTTTACTTATTGATGTTAATTGGCCGTAAATGTAGTCCATCTTCAGTGAGTTCAAATCCCATTTCATAATAAGAAATATAGTTGATGTTTCAAGAAGTAAAGAGAGAGAGAGAGAAATGGGCTTTAGCGTCCACTCGCCACAAACTAGGTCATTTCGGGACTAAAACATGGTTCAATTTTATTTCAATAATTTGCTTGTGCGTGGTGGTCTTTAGCAGTGGTAGGAAACTGGAGGACCCTATTCTTTGTCACATACATGTACAACCAGGGAATTGAAACCATGTCAGTTGACTCAATGACAGATCTTATGATACAGCATGCACATGCTAACCATTCGGCCATCCACCACCCCACCCCCCACCCCTGTTTCAAGAAATAAAATCTTTTGCCAGAATTTTATTCTGGAAGCCAAAAAGACCATAATGACCAAAATGGCAGCTACGGTACAAATTTTTAGTCAGATCTGAAAGTTGAATCTAGGGGAGGACAACTCAACTAGAAAATCCGCTTACTGATTTATTATAATCAAGATTTTTTCTGTATTTAATCAGCCAGTGCCCCAAGTATTCAATCGGATCCCAGGGTCGGCATTCAGCTATTTCTGCTAGGGCTGACGTCAGTGCTGTACCAAGATGTCGAGCAATGTAACGGCCGTCAACTGTCGCTGGCGGTGGCACATCTTTCTTTTCGTAAATATCGGTTGAAATGTACATCTGTATGGGTTTTCTAGTGGAAGATGTAGATGGAGTTAAAGGCTTGTAGGCGGAGTCTGATTGGGAATCTAAAATAGACAAATACATGTAATAATAATTTATGAAATGATTTTCTTTCTATATCATATCAGTTTCAAGTCACCAATCCTAATTTTGCATTTTTCAGACTATATCTAATTTTGTATGACCTTATCCATGCTAACCGCTTGCAAACAACAATATTGTGAAAGTTGAATCTTTAAAAGGAATATCAATCAAAAATCTATCAATTCTGTTCAGTATTTACAAATGTACATGTATGATCAAGTGAGATTTGCCGATACGATATGGTGTAAAAACAAGCAAACGCCACCTATAATCTTCCCTCAGATCTTTTAATGGGCCTCATTATGATCCAAATGGATGTTTTGTGTCTAGTGGACGTTAAACCCCATTTCTCTCTCTCTCTCCAAATAAATGTAAGCTGGTAGAATTGATTTTTTTTCTAAGTTAAAGTTTAATAATTGATCAATACATTTGAGCATGGATTACCCTGTTAACAGTTAGATATTGAGCATGGATTACCACATAAACAGTTAGATATTGATCATGGATTACCCTGTGAACAGTTAGATATTAATGATGGATTATCCTGAGAACAGTTAGAAGTTGTCCGAGACATGTAAATGATTATCAAGTAAAATAGAATGGATGGTCATACCTGAAACCTTTTCACTGGTTTCTGTACTTTGTGTCGTATCTGTGACTGGTTTATTTTCTACTTCCTGTAGGGGAGATGATTCAGTAGTGTCTGTTTTGTCTTCTGGTGTCAGGATCGCTGAGATTCGTTTCTTGACTTCCATGACCGACAGCTCCAGAGGATTATTATTGTAATCTGATGGCAACTTTCCTACCTACAAAAGATGAGAGCTTTCTGATTGTTGTTATTTTACTTCAGGTCTACAAACTATAGTAATTTAGTTTGTTCCAATTTTTTAGATCTTAGCAACATGTAGAACTTACCAAATCTTTAATACTTTCATCGGCACCAGCTTCTTGTAACATGGAATAAATTTGACCAGCGTCATGACAACCACCAGCATAATGACAAGCTGTTCTCTTCATCTGAAATTCACAAAATGGTCAGAATTATTGTATGACAGTGTCCTGATGTTACTTCTTCTATTGTTTATCTTAGAAGCGATTTATAAAAGGATGAAGCGCCCACCATGGTATCATAAATCAGTTTTCTTTCAGCTAAATTACAAAGACAAGCCTTGAAATAAGGTACCTGTCACAGACGTTGTCAGACACAAATCCAGGCTTTGGTTAGTTAAAGATGTCATACATTAGTTACATGTACTTACATTATCTAGGGTATCGAGAATTTCTTTCTTGTGTTTTGAGTCTAAGAAAAGATTTATTATATGAATTTGTTGAAATATGATGGCTTTTTGAAGAGGTAGAGTTCCAGTTCTGTCTGCAGATGTCAATAATGTAACATTACCCTCTTCTAGAAATTTCCGTACCACTTCTTCATTTCCTTCCATTACAGCAGAATGAAGCTTGTTCACTTCTTCCTGAATACATTGAAATAGACAATAATAAATTTACAAAACTGTTGCCATGGATATTGAAATTAAAATAGGAAATTTGTGAATAAGTATACGTAATTTTATTCATAATTTTCTAAATCTACGTCATCAAGTGACTTGAGCAACAGGGGAGTTATGCTGGCTCAGTGATGATGGTGCTGGCTCACTGACCAGGAGGCCTCAAGTTCAAATTCAAAACATGTTTCTCCTTGACATTGGTGCAGGACGGGAGAGTCTGGCTAGACAAATAATGTCTAGTCATTCGGATGGTACAAAAAAGTGAAGACCACCTGAGTACTCATTGGCATGAAAGCAAAAGAGCTGTTAATAGTTGGAATATGATAAAGAATAATTGGAAACGCTGCTATCTGGGTAAAACTTATGCCAATCTTCATTAGCCCTGTTCATGTAGAAAAGTAGGACGTTAAACCCTCTTTGTGTATTTCTCTTGCTGTCTGTTAATACTATATGAGACAGAAAAATATCATTATGAAAATGGCACCAATAAGAAATATTTTATTATGAAAATGGCACCAATAAGAAATATTTTATTATGAAAATGAATGACAAAGGATGAAAACAATTTATCATAGCTAACCTGAAATTTTTCTATTTTATCCATATATTCTCCATCTTCTTTTGACTTTTCTGTGGCTTGTTGAGTGGAATATGGCCATGCATCCCATCCTTGAGCAGCTATTGCCTGGAGTCGTTCCCAGCCTCCTTGCACACCCCACGACCAGACGGCTTCCTTTAACACATCTCCTGCTTCATTGGCGTAATCGCTTGACACAACTAGATCATAGACGGTCTGTCCCGCTTCATTTCTAACTAACAGACTTGTATCTGATATTTTTGAAACCAAGGCTTTAAAAATCTCCAGACTGCCATTTTGTTTGACGACTACATGTAGCAGTGTGTCACCGTTTTCATTCCTTAGTTTGGTATCTTCACCGTCTGCTAGCAACTTGTTAACATCAACAACATTGTTGTCTTTGATGGCTTGATAAAGTTTACAATCTTCCATAGTTTTAACTGAAAATAAATCAATTTATTGACTTAAAGAGATTTCAGTTGAAAGGAATTGGTGTCTTATTTCAATTAGTGATGGAGAAAGTTTTACAGGATTACATTTCTATTTGTTTTATGGATTTAAAGATGCATTATGTAAGAGTTGTATTTGCTATTACAGGTTTTTATTTTTTCTTCAAATGTTAAATAAATTATTTTGACATTTATTCACATGACATTCCTATAATCAACTCTCTAGGACATCCGATGGTGCAGATGTAAACAGATTAAATGATTTTATTTAAGGATGGAGGTGCGAGGCTGAGTTTCGATTAACAAATAATGTTGCTACGATAATAAACAATCTATGTCAAAAATTCCAACAGTGACAACGTCGCTCAGAATATAATTTGAAATTCATTTTTCATTATCTTTTTTTAAACTATTACAGCAAGAACGACCAGCTCTTTATCGAAATTTTACATAATGTATCTTTAATATATCCCTCGCATGATACAAAAATCTGAAAACTGAAGCTCCGTAAAATTCTGATGACACACAGACTTGGGTCGAGCAAGCAGAAGTCAGTCTGGTTTGATTTATTTAAGTTTTATTTATGATGTTAACTGTTTGATGTTCAAAGCAAATTTGGCAAGCTTTATCCAAACATAATATGTGATAAAAAAAAAAAACTTTTTTTTTTACATATATATAATTAGCACAAAGAGTACAGTAAATGTTGTGGGTTTTTTTGTTCAAAATATCCTAAATGTATGTTCATTAGCATGTATTGTGTTACAAAGAAAACCATAAACACAGCAAAATAGTATTTAATTCAATAGTATCTAGTAATAAAAATTTCATATTTATGAAATATGCCATGTAAGTATTTATAATAGGAAATATTTATAAATAAATAATTTCAGATTACGTGAATTGACATGCAAACCTTGTAAAACATCAACATGATATGTGCCATGATTATTTAAAATGATATCAATAACAATCTGGGATACTATGATTGATTATCTTTGATTAAATCATCAATATTCTACAAATAACATAATATTAATTATTAATCTTACTTAATCAGATTAACTAAATCTGGTCAAAGATAATAATGTTTTATACACGTAAATATTACAATCACTTTACCTTATTCAAGCCTCACTACACGCCATTAATGTATACCGTAGAGGGTTACTAAGAGCATTGTTTACCTTGACAACAGGTATCTAAGGGTTTTATCAATAGCTGTATGACCCCTGAGGTTAAATGACAGCTGTATTGTCATTGAATGAATGACTTGCTGGGTGTCAATATGAAAGCAATGTGGCTGTAGTTACATGTATAAAGTTACAGATCATCTTGAATGTAGATTAAAGATAAAACATATCTCTGAATAAATCAGTGCAAACACCTTCTTGCTCTCTGAGGCTTTAAAGAGACTTGATGTATGTTCCTAGCCGAAACTCTGGAACTGTGTTTAGGGAGGGAAATGGGGTTAAATGCTATTCAACACAAACTAGTTAATTTCGGGAGTAACATGGTTTAATTTTATTTAAATAATTCGCTTGTATGTAGGGGTCTTTAGCAGTGGGAGGAAACCAGAGGACCTGGAGAAAACCCACGAGGGTGGACAGGCAACCCTACTCCTTGTCACGTACAACCAGGGAATCGGAACCACGTCAGTTGACTCAATGACAGACCTTATGATACAACGCGCAAGCCCTAACCATTTGGCCATCCAACCCTCGGAACTCATTGACCTAAAGACTGCAGATTGATGCTTTTTATGTGACATGTCTGCAAATTGATATAGAGGTTGCTATGAAAACAAGAGATCCAGATCTGTCAAAGCGGTGACTATGAAACAAAGAGATCCAGCATAGTGGTGACTATGAAACTAAGAGCCCAGCATAGCGGAGGCTATGAAACCAAGAGCCCAGCATCGTGGAGGCTATGAAACCAAGAGCCCAGCATAGTGGAGGCTATGAAACCAAGAGCCAAGCATAGTGGAGGTTATGAAACCAAGAGCCAAGCATAGTGGAGGCTATGAAACCAAGAGCTCACCATAGTGGAGGCTATGAAACCAAGAGCCAAGCATAGTGGAGGCTATGAAACCAAGAGATCCAGCATAGTGGAGAGCTGGAGGCTATGAAACCAAGAGCCCAGCATAGTGGAGGCTATGAAACCAAGAGCCCAGCATAGTGGAGGCTATGAAACCAAGAGCCCAGCATAGTGGAGGCTATGAAACCAAGAGCCAAGCATAGTGGAGGCTATGAAACCAAGAGATCCAACATAGTGGAGGCTATGAAACCAAGAGATCCAGCATAGTGGAGGGCTGGAGGCTATGAAACCAAGAGCCAGCATAGTGGAGGCTATGAAACCAAGAGCCCAGCATAGTGGAGGCTATGAAACCAAGAGCCAAGCATAGTGGAGGCTATGAAACCAAGAGCCCAGCATAGTGGAGGCTATGAAACCAAGAGCCAAGCATAGTGGAGGTTATGAAACCAAGAGCCAAGCATAGTGGAGGCTATGAAACCAAGAGCCAAGCATAGTGGAGGCTATGAAACCAAGAGCTCACCATAGTGGAGGCTATGAAACCAAGAGTCAAGCATAGTGGAGGCTATGAAACCAAGAGATCCAGCATAGTGGAGGGCTGGAGGCTATGAAACCAAGAGCCCAGCATAGTGGAGGCTATGAAACCAAGAGCCCAGCATAGTAGGGGCTATGAAACCAAGAGCCCAGCATAGTGGTGGCTATGAAACCAAGAGATCCAGCATAGTAGGGTCTATGAGATCCAGCATAGTAGGGACTATAATCAAGTCTGAAAACTAGACAACTGTCAAAGATTGTCAGGCATTAAATCAGGATTTGTCAAACACAATCCCATAGCTGCCATTCATTATTCTCGACACATCTTTGTCTTTTCAATGTTTTATTGATATTTTTAATACATGTCCGACACAAAGTTCAAAATGTCCGGTTCTATTTTGATGTCAGACATTTTGTCAGATGCCTGTATAATCATTAGTATTATATTCGTGTATTACCATGTAGATGTCTATATGGTTGTAGTACATTATACCAGTATTCATCACTAACAATGATTGGACATCGTTTATAAGTCATCTGTATATGGTAGTATAAGTTAGGAATGTTGATCAAGCTAGGATGAAACTTGTAGTCTTTAGCAGTAAAACCCCACTGAAAAATATACATTTATAATGTTATTTTATCACAGCATATACTGTTCTGCTTTTACCATTGTTTTGCTGGATGATGTATGCGGCAGCTACTTTCAGTTTTGCAATGTACTGAAATCAGGACTCTCATTTCCGTCCATAATTACCAGTCAGTGAAAATGACCAGCATGAAAACATACCTGTTGCTGTTAGTCAATTTACAGATCATAGAATTAAAATTTTACTCAGCAGACAATCAACAGCTTTAAATTATGAACACTTTGATTAAAGTTTAAACTTAAAGTATCTGGTATATTACTATCACCATGGTAACAACCACCATCTAACATGTTATATAACTTACAGTATTTGATATAAGAGAATCACCATGGTAACATGTTATTATATATAACTTACAGTATCAGGTATATTACAATCACCATGGTATTTATATAGTAACATGTTGTATAAAACATGATCTTCAATACATGCTGCATAATGTAATGAACTTCTTGATAACTGAAAAGAACACGAAAAATCAATAGGACTGGATCTATGAGCCCAAAGTAGCAGGGTTTGATCCCGGTGCTGACTCACTAATCGGAAGACACCTGGGTTCGAAACACAAAAAATTGCACATAGTTTCTTATTAATGTATTTGATACATTAAAACAACAAAAGTTCTATAATGGGCTATATTTTAGTTAATTGTTAACTTAAGTCTGAGAATGTTTTGTGAAACCGGAGCCAGGTTTCCCCCAAAAAACAAGGGTCAGGTCCATGGATGTGGGGTCGCATTGGTGGCGAAGTGCAAAACATGAGTTCCTGGTTGACCTCCCCCTGGAAAATTTTGAAAACCAGAAGCCCGGAAATGCCATTTCCGGTGATCTGAAACAAGACTCCGGTGCTAATGTAATGAATAGAATGGGACTTTTTCTGTCAAAAATCCCACGTATGTAAACTCCTTGTTGCATTCCTTTAACAATTTAGACTGGAAGCAAACACTCATTGTAATGTAAGAAAATATAACACACAGATAAAAATACTGGTGATTCACTTACATTATCTGTGGAATCGAGAACATCAGGTACAGTATCAAGAATTAGTTCTATACAGGGAATATTATTCGCTATAACAGCTTTATGTAGAGATGTTAGTCCCATCCTATCCCAGTATCTAACTGTTTGATTGGTGATAAGATGGCCGATATCTTCTTCACCATCCAGTATCAGATTGTGTAGTTCTACCACATCTTGCTTTGCACAAAATAAAAATCAACATTCAGATATTATAAGATAGATTCGGTTGTACAGGATGGAGGCAAGGGGAAAGACCCTCCAGTTGTGCAAGACAGAGGGCCTGACAAGGGAAAAGGCCTCTAGTTGGGCAAGACGGAGGGCCTAACAAGGGAAAAAGCCTCTAGTTGGGCAAGTAAAACTATAACTACATTTGAAAATTGCATAGCTAGATGGCAAAAGGGCTTGAGGAGCAGCAGTTGTAGTTTGGAACAGTTTATAATTATATTTGCATGGAGCATGCCATTATAAAAGCTGACTGGATGACAAAGCTGCTGGGGGGAGGAGGGGGTGTGTCAAGCTACCTGCCAATCTGTTTTGTACAAACCTGAATATTAAGTGTCTGTTTTATGAACTCTATAGTTTCCGTAGTAAAGTAAACGTTAGTGCCATCTGGTGGCCAATGTGTCCAACCTCTTTGCGCCATTTCTTCCAATCGTGTAAAATCTTCCTCAATTAAAAAATTTACAACATAATCCAAGAGACAGTCTAGAATATCCAGCGATGCATGTTCACAGATTGCTAAATCAAGGGCTGTATGTCCGTCGGAATCACACAATGATATATCGATAATCGACAAGAGCAACTGAATAATTTCCAGGCTGACATTCTGCGTAACGGCCAGATGGAGATATGTTTGTCCCTCTAGACTTCGACATTGCGCATTCTGGCCGTGATTTACTAAAAACTTGACTTCCTCCACATCGTTGATGATTATGGCCTCGTATAAAACGGTATCTTCAAATATCTCTAATTGGTGACTACTGACAGATTTGACCTGCTGCATACGCAAGAGAGTCACGATTGTTTTGATGTGCTTGATTTTGCTTTGATCTCTCTTTGATTCAGATTTGGACAAATCATCCTGAAAGATTTCATTAACTGGAGGATCAAATATTTCAAAAGTCACAGGATTAAAGAACTGTAACTTTTGGGGTTTGTGTAGAATAAATTTGATGTGGCGCTGTATATCAGGGATGCTGATCAAGTGAGGAAATTCTTGATATGTCAGGGCGGTGTGATGATTCTGAAAAATAAGCATAATTTCTCTAAAATGAAATTGTGTCTTAAGCATGTGATTCAACCTTAATCATTTAAGTCACTCAATTTTTTGGTATTATTGGATTATCAACAGTATAAATAGACTTATTTGATTTTTTAAAAATTGCATTCTCTGATATGTTTCCGGGCGTTGGATGACCGAATGGTTATGTGTGCGCATTGTATCATAAGGTCTGTCATTGAGTCTACATGCGTGGTTTCGATTCCCCAGTTATATGTGACAAGGAGTAGGGTCGTCTGTCCAACCTCGTGGGTTTTCTCTGGGTCCTCCGGTTTCCTCCCACTGTTAAAGAACCCTACACGCAAGCGAATTATTGAAATAAAATTGAACCATATGTTAGTCCCAGAATGACCTAGTTTGTGTCGAGTGGATGTTAAACCCCATTTCTCTCTCTCTCTCTGATATGTTTTCTATTGTTTATCTTTTATATTCACGGCATGAATTCACATACTTACCACATCTTGAATATGATCTTCAGCTCCTGACTGTAATAATATCTGGGTTATATCTTCATCTTCCATCACTACACTATAATGTAATGCTGTTCTTCCTAACTAAAATATAGACAAATTACATGTATGTAGTAGAAATGTCCAGTCTGTCTATGGTTCTGTGGTCATATTACATCCAAATCAGTATCATTTTGACCATTGTAGCTGTTCATAATTG